CCGCGATCTCCCGCGAGCTCCCGCGATCTCCCGCAATCTCGTCCAGGCGCCGCGTCGCTGCCCATGTTCGGCGTGCGGCCTGTCGTGGTCGAGGCGAGCAGCGGCGCGACGCTCGACGGCAACGGAGTCGAGGGCGTCCTCTGCTTTGGGCAGCCGTGGCCCGGCATCGCCCGCTCGATCTGGGGCGACCACGACCGCTACATGGCCACGTACCTCCAGCCGTACCCTGGCAAGTACTTCACGGGCGACGGCTGCCGGCGGGACGAGGACGGGTACATCTGGATCACCGGCCGCGTCGACGATGTGCTCAACGTGTCGGGGCACCGGCTCGGCACCGCCGAGATCGAGTCGGCGCTGGTCGGCCACCCGGCGTGCGTCGAGGCGGCGGTGGTTGGTGTGCCGCACGACGTCAAGGGCCAGGGTATCTTCGCGTACGTGATCCTCAAGGAGGGCGTCGCCGAGAACGCCGAGCTGCTGCCGTCGCTCAAGCAGGCCATCCGCGCCTCGATCTCCCCATCTCTCCCCATCTCTCCCCATCTCTCCCCATCTCTCCCACAATCTCCCACAATCTCCCACAATCTCCCCGTCGCTCACGCAGGCCATCCGCGCCTCGATCGGCGGCATCGCCTCGCCCGACTTCATCGTGTGCACGCCCGGCCTGCCGAAGACCCGCTCCGGCAAGATCATGCGGCGCGTGCTGCGCAAGATCGCCTGCCGCGAGGCGCAGACGCCCCCACCCCTCGACGCAGCGGACAGAAGGACGCACACGCACGCGCGCACAGCTGACCTCTCCGCTGCGCCAAGGCGGACCAACACAATCTCCCCATATCTCCCACAATCTCCCACAATCTCCGCTGCGCCAAGGCGGACCAACTCGGCGACACCTCGACCCTCGCGGACCCATCCATCGTCGACAAGCTCGTCGCGAAGGTCAACGCGCTGTACGGCGGCAAGTGAGTCGTCCTCGGCACCTTGGCGCACTGCCGGTGGGGCTCTCAGCCCAGGGCGGTGCGGGTCGATCGAGCGCAGGCCCGCCGTGGGCGGCGGCCCCAGCCCCGCCCGAGAAGGCGCACGAAAAGCCGCGAGGCGTCACGCGTGTTTTTGGTTCTGCGCTCTCGGCGCGGTGGGACGAAGTAGCTCACGGTTCGGAGTTGGGAAGATAGGGTGAAGCATGCTCCATGCATCCACAAGAAGGACTTACGCCAACAGCTTTTTTTCTGCACTAACGCCTATCCAACAGGCACACCCCTCTTAGCGCCGAGTTTGGCGCGAGGTCCTGAGGGGAAGGGGGAAGCCCGCCGGCAAGCGTAAAATTGCTAAAACCGCACCCACGAAGCGACGCCCGTGCTGCCACTCGAGCCGCAACCATGGGGCAGTGCAACCTCCTGATTGATCGGCACGTGCACAAGAACGGAGGCACGACCCTGCGCCACATCTTCCAGTCCATGCCCTCCCAGTGCCGCTACTATGGCGGGTGGCGTGGGCTTGTGCACAAGACGTGGTTGCAGATCCTGAACGACACGGTGGGTGATGCGAGCGGGCAAGCCCGCTGGGCGTGCATCGAGGCGCACTACCCTCTCATGGAAGACCTCCTTCCCCAGATCCGACTCGCGCGCCACATGGCCTCGTGCCGCGCGGTGCTCATCCTGAGGTGCGCCCGTGCCGCCCGCAGCACTGGCACTGGTGAGGACGCGTGACTACCTGAGAGCTGTCGCGCAGGTATCGCGACCCGACCGAGATGTACTTCTCCTTCTTCAAGTGGGACGTCGCCGGCAGGCAGCGGCAGCGGCAGGTCCGTGTGTGCCACTTCACAGGGAAGACACGCGAGCAGGCGACCGCCGACGGCCCATGCCGGCCAGGGGACAATTTCACGCAGTGGGTGCCGAACAACCTGCAGACCAACATCCTCATCGACGCGGAGCGTCACACGCTCGCCAAGCAGGCGGCCCTTCCGAGAGGCGACCACCAATACACACCGCTCAGCTGGCACGTTTGGCAGCGCGTTCCGCCGCCGGAGAGGCTCTCTGTCAGCACACCTTCAAGCACGTGTCAGCCAGCTTGGCGGGTTGCTGACGCCACAGCGTTCGAGCGCCCAGGTGACGCACGCCTTTCCGCCGCGCCTCTCGACCGAGGAGTGGTCCCTCGTCGACGCCTACCTCTCCGCGGCGGACGTCGTGGCGCCGACAGAGCGCTTTCGCGAGGCGATGCGGCTCGTGGAGCGCTTCACCGGCCTGCGGCTCTCGGAAGCGGCGCGGAGCCGGTGGGTGGTACCTAAGCACAGAGGTGTCAGCCACAGGAAGCTCGCAGACACCGACGTGTGTCCCGACCTGAGGCCGTGCCACGAGGCGGTGCGGCTGCGCTCCAGCGACGACCTAGCCTGCCGGACCGCCGCTGCACGGGGCTAGGCACCAGAAGATGAGTGGAATTGATGAATTGGGCCGTAGCGGGGGATGACTGCCAGCCGAAGAACTGCTGGTAGGACTTCACGAAGAAAGACCATGCACCGTTGAACCACTTGCGCTTCTTGGGGGCCTTGCTCTTTGGCTCGACCTGGTTTGCCCCAAAGATGGCCGCCGCCGCGTCAATCGACTCCTTGACATCAGCCGGGAGCTTGTGGACGGTCTTCGCCATCGAATCGTACTTCTTTTTTGTGGCCGAGTTCTCCTGCACCTTCAAGCTCGCTAAGTTGGTGCGCGCGGCCTGCACTGCCTGCACACGTCGCTCCTCCTAAGGAGGGTTTGAGGAGGGAGAGGGGGGGG